GTCTTCCCCCAAGGCTCACCCAAACCCTTTTTTTTTTTTTTTTTTGTGAGGAGGATCGACCCTGAGCTAACGTCTGCCAGTCCTCCTCTTTTTGCTGGATAGCCGCCACCCTCGGGTAAGCGGCGGGCGCGCGGCGGGGGCCCCCGGGGCGAGGCACCCCGGGCCCGCCCTCCGACGGCCGTGTGTTACAGGGCGGACGTCGTGGTCACCGACCTGGAGGAGGTGCAGGACTTGCTGAGGGTGAACATTAACATGAACAAGCACCTCGTCACCGGCTCTGTGCAGGCCAAGGTACTGAAATGGTTTGTATGGCCCTTCCGCTTGTTTCAAGGTCCCCGCTGTAGTCCGCCTTCAATTGCGTTTCCCTAAAAGCATGGTTAACACGAAGGGGCGTTTCCGGGTATCGTTTATGAAACAAGAATATTTTAAGTTATTAAAGCAACAGATAAAATATTTGGTTGGCGTTTCTAAGGGGGGAAGAAATAGAAGACGTTCCTTGCCCGCCGGACTACATCCTGATGGCCGACTGCATCTACTACGAAGAGGTGAGTGTTCAGTGAGGTCTCTTCCTGTGGAAGACGTCCCGCATTTCGTGGATTCTCAAGCACCCGTTTCTTCACATTTTAACGTTTCTGAATGCGGGATACTTGTCCTATGGTTGGTAACACAGTAAAGAGAAAATAAAGGTCACAGCGACTGCATGTATACACTCGTGATGAACGTACGGGCCTATGAAGCGTGTTGAGCAAAGTGTTATGTGCCTTTTACTGGAGTCTTCTGCAAAATTTTAAAAGGATTTTGCCATCTGGATCTGTTATGTAAAGCTGATTGCTTTTTTTTGTAACGTAGCTGTTCCTAGTGAGTATGTTAACCATGACAGGGAGGATTAAATTGCTCTGTAAAGTATTCATTGTTCTGTGGCAAGATTTATTAGACTCAGAAAGATTTTTTTAAAATATTAGTTTGTATAGCGTGGTGGCCATCCCCCCTTTTTTTATTTTTTTATTTTTATTTTTTTTATTTATTTTTTTTTAAAGATTTTATTTATTTTATTTTTT